ACATAGAACAAGGACATATTTTACATAAGAAAATGGAAAATCGATTTTGGTCGAATCCTGGTTTTGGGGCCAGGCTAATTGCATACTTCCCGTTTATGATCTGTATAAAATAAGTCTGTATTCTATGTAAAAAAGGTCCTTTTTTGTGTAAATTACGTCCGTTTCCTTCCTTGGTCGATAAATGGGGTTTATGGTCCAGAGTTGGAAATAAAGTAACATGTTGCTACTACATACTGCCATCACTACCACCGGAATACGGATGACCCTTTACATCCCTGGGCTTACTCCGAATCCCTCAATAAAATGATCAAAAAACATCTGTAATTTACCATTTTTCAAAATATATCAAAAATTAACTTATTTTATAAGATAGCTTGTATTTCATATTTGATTAAACACTAACCCGCCAGAATACACCGCTTAACCCATTCGGCGAGCGTGGCATTTTTAAGGGTACTTAGGTCGAGTTTAGGTACCCCCTTAAACCATTTTCTGGCCAAAGGATCGAATTCTTCAAGTTGATAAAGTATATAAAATCTATAGGAAATGCTAGTGCCTCAAATTTGGACGAAAATATTTTATCTTAGATTTTGCTGATTAAATGCTTAAATGAAAGTTTATGGCCTGGTTAACATCGTAATGAAGCTCAAAATTGCCCAAAAAAATTAATTTCAGATAAAAATCGGAGTAAATGAAAGCTTACCAAGCAAAAATGCAAAATTCGTGAACACTAGACCGATGTTTTGTAAACATTTTTGATTTTTCAAACGCTTTTCTTTCCATCCGAAACATAAAAATTTTACTATCGAGGCAGGTTTCTCCGCATTTTTGGTCACGGAAATTCCGATTCTCGTCGACCCCCTCCTTAAATTGTGAAGAGTAAACGTATAAAAATACTGAATATTTTCATTTAATGAATTAATATAAGTTATATATTATATAATACGACAAAAAACTAACGACAAAAAGATAAAATTTTTTTGATATTTAAATCGATATTATCATTGCTTTATCATAAAAAGAACAATGCTGATATCAAAATAATCGGGATATCGGGGTATCATTGACCTTCCAAAAAACTCTTTGTCATTACAAACTAGGTCTTCTACTGATGTCTCTTTACAATTTCGCGGAGATTCTTTTTTTCCCTGGATTCATTCTCTTTGCATGGTCTGGTCTTGCCTATGTGGTTCTTAATGCTTTTTGTGCTTCAATAATGGGGAAATACGCAGGTGCCTCTGTTGTTGTTTTTTCCGGTACTTATGATGCATCTGTGGCGACATTTTTGATAATGAGCAAACTGTCTTCTTCTTTAAATGAAAACCTTGCAATGATGATGGGTATTCTCACAGCTTTGTCGATTTTTGTTCACATAAGGACCGGAGTTTCTTTTAACATTAAGGTTCTTGTGATTCATATTAAAAATAAATAAGCAGAAAAGTCGCAATTTCATAATATGAATTTAAAATTGTGACTCTTATAAGAACCTTTTTTCTGATGCCTTACGACTTTCCGGGAGCAGATTGGGCTATTTGCGAGTTTTCAAAAGTCAACATTATATCCAGATTAAAAAATATTAACGATCAAGCAAATACAATTGAGGAAACATCTGAAGAAAGAAACAAGACAAAAAACTCAAAAGAAAAATCAATTAAAGAAAATGTCTTTAATCCGATTTACTTAATTTTTTCTGTCGTTTTTACAATTTATTCGACAAGAATAAAAAGTATCCAAGGTAACGTTCATTTTTAGTTTTAAATTTTTAACATTATAAGGCTGGATCAACGCTTGGTTGACATGGTCATACGCAAAAAATTCGGCTGATGTGACCGAACTTAAATCTCATATTAGTCATCTTCTCGAAATCTACGGCTATCTTCTATTTGCTTCACCAATTTTTGCCACATTTCCAGAAGTACTCAGCAATATCGGCAAAAAAATCAACAGAAACGGAAAAATTAATGGAGAAATGGTTTCACTTATTATAATCATGATATATTCTGGCTTCGCCTGCACAATCTGTTCTGCTCAGATGATTTATAAAGTAAGAAAAACTTCTATTCAAAAAAAGACTTTTTTGAGGCGAAATCATTTGACGACAATGCAAACGCTTACGCGCTGATAATAATTTTTTCTATCGCAAAGACAATTGTTTACGCTTCTCCGCATTTAGTAAGTCCTCAGTTAAGTTTCTATTCTATTTTATTTTTCAGTTTCTATTAACCATGTTTCCCGCTCAACATTATGCAACACTCTATGGCATTCTGGGCTCGGCAACCTGACCTGAGAAAAACCCTGACTCAGGCCCCTGAGTACTGAGTACACAGGCCCTGACCTGTGTGCCTGAGTAAAGTCGAGACTCGAGAAAAAAAACCCTGAGCCTGACCCTGACCTTAGTTAAAAGATAGGCCTGAGTTGCTCACACAGGGCCTGAGTTACCTTAAAAAAGTACTAAAAAGGCTCAATTAGCAACGTCGGGGGGTCCAATTACACTGATTTTCCATCATTATGGGGATTTTCCGATTACAGGACTGTCAGGTTGAAAGTTATCTGGGCAAAACGAAAAGTTTATAATTTTAAAGTGTGAACTTGGTCGTAAAAACCCTGTGTTTTACCCTGAGTCAGGCCCCTGAGTCTGACCTGAGTACCTGAGTCTGAGCAGGCCTGACCTGTTTGCCTGAGTACCTGACTGAGTGAAAAACCCTGACCTGAGTTCCTGAGTAAATTTCGAGAAAAAATTTTCGAACCCTGACCCTGAGCCTGACCCTGTACTCAGGTTGCCGACCCCAGATGGCATTCTTATGGCTCCTTCATTAATAACCATGTGGCTTATTGATCCACTTTTTCGACTTATTCTCGGTGATTCCAATAGCGTTGAAAATGGAGATTTTGTGCCAGTATCGATTGGATTCACAGTCATATGCGGAATTTGCCTCTTTCATTTATTCATCCCAAAAGTCGGCTTGATTCAGGCAGCGCAAAAAACATGCTGCGAGAAGAATCAGCAAGCAAAAACATGTACCGGTCATGAAAACAATGGATATGATTGTGAAATTAACTAAAAAACGTTTTACTCTTATTCTTTATGATGCAAAATAAACAATACTTACTTAGTAAAAAAAAGTTCAAATTCCAGTGTCAAAACCGATGAGTCGCGTGAGAAAATATGTATCAACCTGACACCTGAGAATTGAACTTAGTTTTTATTTATTGGATTGTTAATCTTCAACTTGGACGATTTAACTATCGCACGTGTCGTTGGGCGGAGTAATGATGGGTGGTTCCAAATCTTCGCCGGCCATGGTTAAGTTTTGCATCATGTATGTTTATTACGTAAATATCATGATTTTGATATTTCTAAAACCTTTGTTTGGATGTTATTTTTTTAACCACTAATTTCTGGTCTGAAACAGTATCAAATAAAAACGAAAAGGTTAAGCACTAGCTGTTACTCATCATTTATCAACAGCTTCCATTGACAAACTAAATAACAAATAATTATGAAATTTTTTGGCATGTTTTGTCCCACGATTTCTTAAAAATGTCCAAAAATTTGATACATGCTCTTGAGAAAAATATCTCATCAAAATCGCTTAAAAATTTTTTTGAGAGAAAACTAGATCATTCTCTTTTTACTTCGTTTTCCGAAGCCAAAAATATTCTTGGGATACGTGATCAGCCTTTAACTTAATTTTTCTTAAAGACAAAGAAAGATTTTGATAAGAAAAGAAGGAAAACATCTGTATACAGTTGTTTCCGAATTGCCGGATACTAAATAACAGGACATTTTTCAGATTTGTAGGCATCTAAGTGGGAAACTAAAAAATCGACAGTTGTCCAAATTTTCCGGACTTCTTTCTCAAAATTTTATTAACAAGCAATCATTTCCCTAAAAAAAGATTCAATCGACGGTTAAATTAACTTCTTTTTCGGCGCAATCTGAGCTTGTTCGCAAGGTTGAAGAAGAGGACTAAAACTTAGGGTCATTCAGTGGTTTTTTCATAAATTTTGACAGAAAAACCACTATGAATCAATATCCTTTTCTATTAAGCCTGTACGAGCACTTTTTAAAGAATGTCACATTCTGAATGTGGGACATACAATTTTACCTGTGACCCAAATGCAGTTAAAAAAATTTACAATTATGCAAGGAGACAATTATGCAGTTAAAAAAACACGCGATTACCAGATTAAAAAGTTCGAATCATATTACCACATTTATTTTCACGGCCCAATTGTAGTTAAAGTTGGGTTGGTCGAGACTAAGACTTTTTTCAACCTAAAAAACTCAATTTTTTTTTCGAAAAAAACTTTTATTCTCTCAATGTAAATAAGTTAAAAAGGGTCCATTCTATGTGGGCAGCTCTTTTTCGGAAAAACGGTGAAAAATTGCAGCAAAGTGGACCGATCTCTTGACCTTAAAAACGCTATCCGGGATAGCCTATCCCCTTATCATTTTTTTTTCAAAATAAAACTAAATAAGAGAAAAGTTTAAACCCTTAAGCGTGTTGGCGGCTATGTTTAATAAAGTTCGCATCGTTAGAAAAAAAATAGTAATTGAATGAAAACATGTTACTTCCTGAAAAATCGTTATTTTAATTCAATTTCCACGCAAATCTTTACGAAAATCGCAGAAAATCGTTGTTTTTTGTTTTAATATAAATTATTATTCAGAAGATCTTAAGAAGCTTTTATATGCAATAAAAATATCTTTTCCATTGTCAAAAATACGAAGTCATAGACTAAGAATTTCGAAAAAATCTCAAATTTCGAACTTTTGATTGAAAATTTTTCAGTACAAAGTTGAATTTATAAGATAAAGGTGAAGATCATAAAAAACGATTTTTTTAACGAAGAATATAAAAATAATATTAATATTTCTTGACCACCACCCCTTAAAGGCTTTCAAAAGGCTTCATTGCCCTGATTTTATCTATTGAATAAAGATGCTGTTTAAAATTCGATCAAAGAAAAGGCTTTTTATTCATAAACTACCGGTCTTAATCATAGATTTCAACGCGGTTTTTATCAGTTTCGTCGAGTATGATTTTCTTGAGATGATAAGAGCCTGGCGGTAGCTCTTGAGAAAGCTCGGTGAAAATCCACGGGGCAATATTTTCAGCGGTAGATGGGAAGTTTTTGAAGTATTCGACATCTTTATCCACATTTTTGTGATCGAGCTGAGACAGCACTTTCCACATGGCCCGTTTTAGATCGACGAGGTTCATCACCATTCCCGTGTCTTTTATGATTTCGCCCTAGAAATCAGAGAAAATCAACTAAGGAAGAGTGGCTCACCTCAATTACTGCTTGAATGGTGTAATTATGACCGTGACCGTTAGAGTGATTGCACTTGCCATAGATTTTTCTGTTTTCTTCGTCTGTCAGAAACGGACTGAACAATTAACTGACTTGGAGTCTTTCTTATATCAACTTTTTATTTCTACCTATGAAGTCGATGGCCAGTGCATATTTTCTCTGTTCTTATAATCGAGCACTTCATCGATGAAATTATCCGAAATTGGTTCGGAAAAAGAGTAAAAAAGAAGTTGGTAAGATTTTTATTGAACGAGATCGCAATAAAATATAAATCAATTGATGTAATCTTACGACTTCCGAGAATTATTATTTCAGATCGCGCAAAAAAATTGGGTACATATTTTTCTAGAACTAATCTTCATGAACGAACATCCCGGCATTTTGAGCCAAAAATCTCTTTTCTTGGTTTCCCTTATCTTTGACTCCGACTGTATTATCAAAATACAGTGGTGAATCCTCGATTGGGAAGGTCACTTTGACTTGCCGCTTCCCAATCGCTATCCCAATCAAAATTTTCCTCGGGCATGTTCGTTTATGATTCCAAAATGACACAAAAGGGTAAATCATTTCAACGCTTTAAAATCGATAAAATCAAGTGAATTTGACGATTTCACTAGCAAGAAAATTGTGAATTATAAAATAATGAGCGAAGAGATCCAAGAAGATGAACCTGAAAACATGGGGACAAAGACAAGTAAGGTCAGCACTAGAACTCTGATTTTAATTGTGAGAAAGCAACGATTACTGGTCGACTCGAGCTGACTCAAGAAGAAGCGGATTCGCAAGTTCGAGATGAGGAAGATGAGCAAGAAAGGAGTATTCATCCTGTTTTTGCAAAAATTCTAGCAGTAAGAGAGGTCATCAGGGATTTCATCGGGAAGATAATGGAGATGAAGAAACATTCATCAAAAGCGATCATGATTCTGGTCGGCGCGTATATAGGACTTGCCTGCTACTCGGATTTCGAGCGAGCCAGGAAAAGGGTTTGAAAAAGCTCTGGAAAATCTCAATCGAGTTTCAATACTCTTGTTACCCCTCTTTTCAAGTTTTCTCCTTGTCTTTTACTTGATCGTTCTTGCTATCAAATCATACGATCTTTACAAAGAAAAGGTCGAAACTGCCCTCGATGGAGTCGACAAAAAGCAAGTCAGAAAAATCTCGGCTTTTGGTGGCCTTTTTCTGATGCTCGCAATTTACGCCGAAAGTCTTTACAAAAGCGACTACAGATTCAATGTTGTTGTCGCTTCATTTGGAGTGGTGATTTATATGATTATCTGTATGCTCATGTGCATTTCCATCATCAAAATCGTTTGGCGACCGATCTTGGTGGGCTTTTTGCTGCAGTTTTTCATCGCTGCTTTTGTGATAAAAACTGAAGTTGGTTTCGTTTTTATTGAAAATTTCAGGTACGTTTTAAAACTCAAAAATTTTTAAAAATTTTTTCCAGCAAGCCAATCAAGGCTCTTTTACGATTCGCGGATGCAGGAGGAATTTTTCTGTTCTCAGGATCGTTGGTTTTGACAACTCAATCGAGGTTTTTTCGCCGAAAGCAACCTTCGAAATCATTAAAAAGGATACAAAGGAGACCTGACAAATTTCGTCTTTGGCGTCTGCCCCGTGATCATCTTCTTTTCTTCCTTGATTTCAATGCTTTATCACATTGGCATCATGGATTTCGTCATTCAGCTTTTGTCGGTAGCGCTGACAGCAACTTGTAATTGCTCCCAATCAGAGGCTGTCGCCTGCGTCGGAAACATCTTTGTTGGCATCGCCGAGTCGCCGCTCTTGATTAGGCCCTACATAGATTCAGGGTTTGACAAACCTTTAATTTGGTATTTCGGACTCTTTTCGACCCGAAAAAAGACCACATGACTTATTCTGAAATCTTCTGCGTCATGACCTCTGGCTTTTCTTCTATCGCTGGTTCCGTTCTTGGCGCTTATTTGAAGCTTGGAATTGATGCTAGAGCATTGATAACAAGCTCGTTTATGTCCGCCCCTGGATCACTGATGGTGGGAAAATTGATGTTTCCAGAAGTAACGCCGTCGAGACTCGTAAGTTCCATCATTTTTTTTAATCGAAGCCCATTTTCAAAAGACGACGAAAAAAACCGAGGACGAGAAAAGCAAAGGTGGCCAAAATCTCCTTGGCGCTGCAGTACAAGGAGCATTGGATGCTTTTCCCGTTTGCGCGAATATAACTGGTAATAAAAATTAATATCATTGAATAATTAATTCATGTTTTTAGCTATGCTGATTGTTTTCGTGGCTGCGATCGAGTGTCTTAACGACATTGTGGTCTTCCTTAGTGGCTTGTTTGAAATTGAAAGCATTACGCTGGAAAAGATATTTGGAGTTGTTTTTCGCCCATTTGTTCTTCTCATGGGTAGGATTTTGGCAAGATGATTTGAAGAAGATTTTTCTTAGGAGTGCCAAGCTTTGAAGCTGAATTCTGCGCGCGATTGCTTGGGGAAAAAATTTTCTTCACAGAATTTATGGCATTTCAATCCCTCGCGACGGCGAAAGGTTACAGGGAATCTGGACGAGATAAGGTGATCATCAACTTTTCTATGAGTTCTGAGCTGACCTTTTTCCAATAAGTGCGACTGTGATGGCAATCAAATGTGGCTGTCTGAGCTGTCCGAGACGATAATGACTTACGCACTTTGCGGTTTCGCGAATATTCCGGGATGTGTTGAACTGACCCTTGTCCATCCAAAAAATGTATATTCATCCCCTCAAAAGACCATGGGAATCATGCTCGGAACCATGGCCGGTCTAGCTCCAAAGCGCAAAAAAGTCTTTTCGAAGATTCTGGCAAAAACATGCATTGCTGGCACCATTTGCTGCTTGATTCGGGGGTGTATTGCTTGCATCCTGGTTTGTTCTATATTTTATTAATTCTGCTTGTATTAGGTGTCAATTCATAATTGAGCCGGTTTCGATCAATTATTTATTCGAGAACACGATATCCTGATAGAAAATGCCCTTTTTTTAAGTTCGAGCCTTCTGGTCAATTTATGTGGGGCAAAGCGAACATCGACAATCAGCACATTCGATTTGAATCAAGTACAGTCAGCTTTCATCAATCACTTGTCATGATTTATATTAATACTACTAGATCCGTTTGGCATCTCCTGTCGGGGCGATAGTCAGTGCTACGCTTATGGCTTGCATAATCCAAGAGGTAAGGTTTGATTTTTTCCGGGGAAGGAGGATGACTAGGGTGGGCAAAAGCCGAAGAGAGGCGTATCTTAGGGTAAGGATTTGGGTTAGGGTTAGGGTTAGAGCTTTCTCTACGATGATTCGCTGACGCAAAAATTTCTTGCCTCTTATTGGCTGAAAAAGCCTCCACTAGCCAATTTTTTCGAGGATTTGGCGCACCCTAGAAAGATAAATTCATGAATCATTATCTAATCGGAATTTTCAGCAAATGAGCGAGAATATGTCGAAAGCAACAATTTCAAGAGCGCCAAGCATGTTCATTCTGTCGGAGAAAGGAGCAGATTCGTTGGAGATTTAGTTAGGCTTCCAAGTGTTTCGGTTTTTTATTGTTTTTTTAGCACTGCACTGTCTATCATCCTCAGAAGAACATGTCGATTCCGGTTCGTTTTTGGACTTTTTTTCTATTTTTTTTTTATTCTAGCAATGTGACTTAAAAATCCAAACAACGGAAGCGAAAATAGAAGAAAAAAGGCACCCAGAACCGACTAAAAACCCCAAGAAATCAACTCAAAAGGTTCGAAACTATTCTCAATTTCGGAAACTTGCTCATTTTTAGAGACCGTTTATTGAAAAGGGAGAAAGCTTGGACTCCCTAAGCCACACTCAAAAAATGCTCAGTTTATCTGACGACAGTCTTTTCGACGAGTACATTACAACCTTGAAGGATGACCACGAAAACGAAGTTAAATGAACTTTTCTTTTCATGTTTTTCTTAATAAAAATCGTCTAAAAAGCCAAATCTGAATTAACGGGTTATCAAGAATTAATGACGCAGGTATGATTGACGTCTTATGGCCGTCAGAGGAGGGCGCTCGACGGAGTAAACCTAATTCCAGCTGATTCTTTCTCAGTTAATATTTTAAACTACTAAGAAACAGAGTCAAAATTTTGCCAAAACAAGGAAGAAACGGCCTTGTGAAATCAAGGAAGAGAAAAATTGATCTTTGATTTTGGAAATCAGAAATAATGGGGCCAGTCTTGACCTCTCAACTTACAGTAATACTTTGGATACTGGTTGTGTTGTTCAATTGTGTTTCACTTTTCTTTTGCTACAAGTAAGTTAAAAAATTTTAATAAAAAACATCTTAAAAAATGATGATTTTTTCGATTAAGAAAAGCGGAGGTGAATCGAATCAACAAAAAAATAGAGATTTTTGACCAAAATTTTTGCTAAATTTTTGACCAATCAGATTTCCGCATTTGACTAGCTCGATTTTTATCGCAATTTTGTAGATTCGAGCCGCCAGCCCCAAAAAGGGCTTTTTCTCTGAATAAAATTAATTAAGGAAATTTAAAAATAACAATTTTAATCTCTGTCCTAGAATTTGGTCAGTCGGGCGAGATAGAAATCGAAAACAGCTTGTGCGAAGCAATCGAAGGAGGAAAGAAGTACAGAAGGATTTGTCAGAGATAGAGAAAGAATACCTCAATACTATAGGAATGGGCTTTTCAAAGAATATAAACGGTATAACAAGAAACTAAGACAGACAAAAATGTCTGTTTCTGTTTAAAAATTCAAGTTTCCAATTTTTAACAAGGCTTAAAAACGTGTCTGAAACCGTAAATTTTTTATGTTTTAATGAACCCGCCCGAAGCCCGAAAAAGTTGTCAATGCAATAACTTTGATACCCAATGCCGAAATTGCCGCTGTATGAGAATTCCGAATTACTTCATTCCGAAATTGGCAACCGCGACTTATATTTACAGATAGCTACATGCGCAAGAGACAATACAGTTCAATTATTATTTGAAATACATATTTGCGCCTTTATTATTTATAAAACTGCGCGAAAATTATCAAGAACCTTCCAAAATGTCGAATAAATACTGTTTAATATTCAATCCAGCACGACTCTCGCCGTACGAGGGTTTGAGTGAATAAATGCAGCAAAACGCAACAATGCTGCATTTCAAATTAAATCGCCTGCGGTAAAGCCCGACACTTCCTTATTACAGTTGGACACCGGCAATCCTTTTCCTTGATTGAAGTTGCATTTTAATTAAGTGGCTTGGAAGTTCATTAGTTCAAAATTGAGGATAATAAACAAAAGGCGGCAACCTAAGTCAAGTTTTGAGCAGCTACAATGAAAAGCCGCGAAGCGGCTTTTTAAGATCGGAGCCGCAAAGCGGCTTCGCTGATATTTCCAAAAAAAAAACGAATGTTTGGTTTGCGAAGCCGCTTTCCGGCTTCCTTTTATAAAAGCCGCTTCGCGGCTTTTTATTTTACCACTCAAAGCCTGACTCAGGCTGTCGCCTTTTGTTTTTTTCTCCTCAATTTTGAACCTAAATCAGCTTTGTCAGGCTTTAAGTGGTAAAATAAAAAGCCGCGAAGCGGCTTTTATAAAAACGAAGCCGGAAAGCAGCTTCGCAAAAGAAACATTCGTTTATTTTTTGAAATATCACCGAAGCCGCTTTGCGGCTCCAATCTTATAAAAGCCGCTTCGCGGCTTTTCATTGTAGCTGCTCAAAACCTGACTCAGGTTTTTAAACAGATTGCCGAGCCCAGATTCGAAAGCTCATTATTCGAATAATTCAAAGATTGAGAAACAAAATTGAAATTCCGGAGAAAAAGATACTCAAAAACGCATTCTGATAAAGCGTCACTCATGCTAATCCCCAATTATCCATTGATTAAAAATGCGCCCGACAAAACACCGGGCTCAGAGCTTTCCACATGATCGCTCGTGGGAGAGAGTGAGTTCTTCTTTTCTTTAATTTTGGTGTGATGGAATTTGTTTAATCCCGGAGCGCTGTCAAGTGCCCATGTACTTTCATGTCGAGGGTTGGGGCCGCTGAAGTGATCACCTGTGGAGAAGACTTAATTCACCTTTCATCTCGGGGTGTCTTCAGCAGGATTGAGGGGTGAAATTTCAAGTGCAAGGGGCTCCAAATTCATCTCGACACGAAAAAATAAATTGGGGTTGAAGCTGGGCTCGGAAACCTGTGTAGAAACCTGAGTCAGGTTTCAAAGTAGCTAGAAAGAAAAGTCGCGCAGCGGCTTTTTATAAAACGAAGCCGCAAAGCGGCTTTGCCAACACAACTTTGTAAGGTTTTTTTTTTAATCTCAAGGTAGTTCAAGACTCTGACTCAGGCTCCGCATCCTGTGTTGAAAACCTAACTCAGGTTCTGAAAAAGCTAAATGAAAAGCCGCATAGCGGTTCTCGAGGTTGTCGAGCAAACGACTCAGGTTTCGGGCAAAGTCCTCTAGAAAAGACAGCAGCCGAGGACATTTGAAGTTATCGAAAAGCATAAATTTCGCATGTTTGAAAGTGTCGGCGTTGACTTTTTCAGGATATTGCTCTTCAAGCAAAAGTAACGCGTTGATTTGTAGCTCCTATTTATCCAGGTGTCTCCAGGAGTCCAGGTCTTTTTTCACCAAGAAAGGAGCGATCGGAAAAAGAGTTTAAGGATATAGCCTATGAAATCGAACTTTCATAGCGCCTAAATGCGACGTCGGATCATCTTATTTCAAAAACAATACTATCTAAAAATGTATGCAGAACTCGATTCTGGTACTTGCTTAAAAATTTTCATTCGAATTTTTCTCTGTAGAGCGTTTTAAAAGCTTACGATCGCGATTTCTCGAAATATTTGCATTTAATCGGTCGAGTTTTTTTGATAGAAAAGTAATCTAGACCCTTATCTACAATATTGTGGGTTCGGTTTTCTCTTATCCCGACAAAAACCGATTTTAGAGCCATTTCGGTGAGGCTTCCTCGGCGCGTGAATAGTGTAAAAAGCGCTGCGCTGGGTGCTCAATCTCTCGACTCCTCTTTCCCGAGAGAGTCTGCGCGTTTGAAATAGCGCTCTGATTGGTTGAACCCAAAAAAGCGCGCATGGAAGAAAAACAGGAGTAAGAAAGAGGAAAACACTAGAATGAAAATTTGGCCGAGTTTGAGGATTTTTCAGCCACAATATTTTAGTTAAGCACTTTGATAATGCAGTCATTGGTTTAGTTTTAGCGATATAATGTAAATATTTCGAGAAATCGCGATCGTAAGATTTCAAAACGCTCTACAGAGAAAAATTAACATGGAATTTTTTAATAAAATACCAGAATCGAGTTCTGCATACATTTTTAGATAGGATTGTTTTTGAAATAAAATGATCCGACGTCGCATTTAGGCGCTATGAAAGTTCAATTTCATAGGCTATATCCTTAAATCAAATCTGACTTGACGGAGATCAATCGGAAGCAATTTGTCTGTTGCCGGCTGTATTCCCGGTTTTCACCTTCATATTACATTTTTTAGATTAATTAACACTTAACCAATTATTCAGAGCTCTGGGGGTCACGTGGCTCGACTTTGTCGTTTTGTCGAGAAAGGATAACTTGCCCTTAATATGACATGTAACGAGTAGCTCGGCCAGGGTAGACACATTGTTGCCAAATGATTTTTTTCCCGGAAAAAGGGGGAAGGGTTCAAAATGGACATTATTGGAAAATTTTTCAATTGAAAAAAATTTTTGAAAAGCCAAAAAACGCTTGGAACCGACAAAAATTCCAACAAAAAATATTTTTTGCGACATTTTTTTTTTGAAATCTGATTGGCCGAATCCAAAAATCCAATTTCTGTTGAATTAGGGCAAAATTTTGGTCAAAAAATGTCGGAATTTTTGTCGTTTTTTGACACCAACCCAAAAAAATCGAAAGAAATTTATGATTTTTAATCCTTTACTGAGCTGTTATTCTTGGCATGTTGGAAACATCCGGGCGGGGCTTTTGTTTTTGCCTCACGATGTTTGACCATTTGGCTAATCCCGGTGTTCAAGACACCTTCCTTCATTTTCGGCTTACCGAAAATCGACCCAGTCTTTTATTGAAAAAAGGAGGCCGTTCAAGTTCTCGGAAAGGTGCATTTTCATGCTCCGCGAAATTGTCATGGGAAGGGAGGGAAAAGTGTGAAAGCCGGAAAGAAGAGTTGATTGAAGATTGCGCAGGTTCATTTCCCCGATTAATCTGATGTTCCTCTCGTTTCTGACGATTTTCTGCTTGAGAGTGGGAATTCCTTCAGGTGTTCGGAAATTGACTTTGATTCGTCAGAGAGAGAAAGATCCGGGGCCACGATTTCGAATTGCGTTGTTGTCTGCCGGCAAAAGAATCAGCTGGGTTTTCATCGTTCTCCACTTGAATTGGCTCAAGCACGCGCCCAAGGGTAAAGTTGCTTCCCTTCCGGCCTAAGCTGTCCTTTGTATCAATCTGTTTGAACAGAATGGATCAACAACCGTCCACTCAGGCAGCGAGCTCCTATCTCAATCTCAGCTGCCTGAGCTTGAGATTGATGCCAAAATACGAACTGCCAGTAAATTACCAATTCTCAAATTTAAAATCTCTCAAAAATCAGTGTTCAAAGTGACTTAAGGGTACCTGGGTCGAGTTGGCTATCTTTGAGGGCAAATTACTACCCTTTATTCTTAACGAAAAAAGCTTTTTAATAGCTCATTCGATAGATCCATCCTAGATCTCGGATCGTGACAGAGCACTTTTTTCGATTTCAAAGATTTTTTTCTGAAAAAATGCAGTCAAAGTTGGCGTCTCGGCCTAAAATCGCCGACTTCAACGCTAAATTCAGGCGAAAATTTTCATACAAACCGATTTTTTTGTTATGGATTTATGTAGATTAAAGCCTCCTCTTTGATCGTGACAGAGCATATTTTTGGATTTTGAAAATTTTTTTAACAAAATTTTCAAAAGTAAGGACTCGTCTTCGGGGATTCCTTATTTTTGCTTGATAAGCTTCCATTTTTCCAGATTTTGAAATGAATTTAATTTTGTGGGGCAATTTTAAGCTTCACCACGATGTTAACCAGGCCATAAGCTTTCATTTGAGCCGTAAATCAGCAAAATCGGAGGTAAAGAAATTCTCGGCCAAATTTGAGGCGCTATCATTTCCTATAGATTTTAATGTTTGTAGTGGTTTTTGACGGTGAAAACATTAAGAAAACTATAGGGTCATTATAGAGTTTTTTGTTCCTCAGAACCTGAAGAATCCGATTCTAGGGTCAGAAAATGGTTTAAGGGGGTACTAAAACTCGACCTAGGTACCCTTAAGCTTTTGACACCCTTATTTTCAAAACCAATTTCGAGCGAATTTTGAGACTCAAAAAAGCGAAAAAAATTTTAATTAAATCCTGGAACAAAAAATTCTTGAGAAAAAGGGATGACTGTAAGTTTGGCAAGAGAGTGGGTTGAGCGATGACACGCTCTGTACTTTTGCTTTCATCTGCCGTCGAGCTGCTCTTTGCACTTTGCGCGGGTGCAAAGCCGCCCATAGGAAGCCAGCCTTTGTGAATCTGACTAAGAATAAATCTTGAACTCGGATGAGTACAGTCACTTTTCAAGCTGTATTTCTATAAATTATTAGTACAAAAATTATATTTCAAAGAATACTTAAGAAACCGAAATGCTTTGAATTAATTTTCAAAGCAAGCGACAGAAGTTACTGACCAGCGACCTAAATTTTTTAATGAATTATGGTTTTCAAAAATATACAAGGACTTTTTCTTTGTACCAAAACAGACTTTACTCCGTCTTTCTGCTCTGGCTTTACTCAATTAGAAATAGCAGCATTGATAGGAGATGATCCTAAGAAGAATTTTTCGCCATTGGAAACATAACCCTAACCCTAGGTAATTGACCAAAAGCCAAGAAGAAGATGTTCGACCAATGGTGGCGCGAAATTTCCGGCTGTGGCGCTCCCAAGTGTTCCCCCTGTCCGCTCTGTTTTCCGCTCTTTAGCGCCCCCCGCTGCGTGGATTTCCCGCACGCTTAGCACAAGTTGCGCTTTAGCGAAATCGTAATGAAAATATAGGCCAAGCAGTTTTTTAAATAAGAACTCATCTATAAGAAACCCAAAAAGAAAACAAACAGTTTACAGAGATTTTAATCGAAAAACCATGTCCTGACGGTGCAAAAAATAGAGAGAAAGAAGGAATAATTACGGAGAAAATTATACAAAGAAGCGTGATCTATTTACTACAGGTGAGCACACTGATACAAGGACAGGTCAAATACCATTCACCTGATGAATTCCAGAAAATAATATCTTCCAGAAAATCTTTCTCCTGAGCTTTTTACAGTAGGAGATCACAGTAACTCTCCAATATATCGAGTGGAACTGATCTTTTTGACAAAAATTTTTCGATTCTTGAATTTTTTATTTCAAATTTCGAAAATCTTTTTGGCATGTTCTTAGTCAACCCTTTTTATATGCCCAGAAAATCCTCTATAATTCAGATATATCACCGTGTTAAACCCTTAAAAATCGAATAAGGCAATTAAAAGAGGGTTCAAAAATGTATATTTCTCGATTAAAGATGGTCAAGTTTGAACATGTTTTTGAAATTAAGGGGGTACACATTAAAAAAGAATATTTTTTCCACTAAAAATAGTGATTTTATACTTAAAACAAGCGATTTCTAAGCAGAAGTTTGTTCATTTTATTCATGATATATTCAGTCGGGCGTTCAATTTTATTCATATTTTTGACGCAATAAAATAATTACGAAACTTTGAAATGGAAAACGTAAGAAATTCTCATGAATTATTTTGCTACGTGCAGTTTTTTACTCCCCGCCGGGCGTTTTCCTGGAGTTTTTCTTAATTTTGAAAAGTTTAACCTGCCGTGAGTGGTGTGAGAGATAATATAGCCGCAGCTGGGGTGCACCTGAAGCTCAACCTCCGCTCGGTGGTGGAGCGATTCCGCGCTGATTCAGGCACCACCAACACCGCGCAGATGCGCATCGCACCGATTGCCACAGATTTCGCGTGTTTTGGGAACCGATGACTAGCTGAAAATTAAGGAAAAAAGTGATTTGGATAATTTTATTATCGAATTTTCAAAGTTTTATGGTTAAAAAATGTCTCTTCCGCGTCGACAGGTTAAAATCGTAGCAATTAGATGGTCTTTTTTGCGAAGCCGCTTCGCGGCTTTTTTCTCGGAATAGCCGCTACGCGGCTTTTTATTTTTGCTTCTGAAATCCTGACTTAGGCTTTTAACGAGTTGACACCCTTATTTTATCAAAGCGGAAGTGCTTGACTTTGCAATACGAAACGGATTGACATTCCGTAAACTTGACGTCAGTTCCCTTATTCCTCAAAATAAAGCCTTGGCAAGCAGGTGATCCAGTTCAGCTGCATTTGTTTGGCGAAAATGTTACCGATCCAGTGAAACTTTTTTCATATTTCCGGGCCACCTCGAAGTCCGGGCAACAAAAAAAAATGACGAAGTCGAAGATTCCAAACTCTGACAAACACTTTCTACGTGAGAACGAGAATGACGCAGAATCACTCCGTCTAGTAAATGAAAATCAATCTACTGTCAGTGACTGAGTCTGAGATTACTGACGCAGCTTCCGGGGGAGGATATGACTTTGATTCTTCGTTTTCTCGAGTGTGAGAATTCGAACGATCATCCCTTTTTGAGTCATTTAAATTGATCTCAAAAAGGGGGTTGATACTGGGCTCGAAAACGGGATGGTGTCTGGAACCGACAAAAAATTTCGACAAATTTTGAGTGGAAGGCTACTCGGTTGCTAATTGGCCGGTTTGCTGAATCCAGGCTTCTGATTGGTTTAAAATTTCCACGCAAAATTTGTCGAAATTTTTTTGTCGGTTCCAGACACCTCCCCTCGAAAACCTGTGTAGAAAACCTGAGTCAGGGTCGAACTCAGGGTCTAACCCTACCGCAAACCCTGACTCAGGTTTACAAAACAGGTTTCCGAGCGAACAGTAGACAGGTTTATTGAGAAGAAACTGTAACTCAAGATTTGAGCAAAGAGTTAAATTATTTAATCTTTTTAATTCTTCATTGTAATTATTCGGATATTTGCGTTGATCAAATTGAATAATCTGCGAGCTGTTAATAACGCGTAAATATTCGCTGTGGACTCAGGTGCGCCATCTTGTGCTTTACTCGGAAGGAAAGCCCCTAACAGAGAAATGACGCTTATTCGTTCTTCTCTGGAATTTTCACCTGATTTTTTTTAGTTAATTTTTTGAAGATTTAAATCTCCGAAACTCTCGCTCGGGCAAATTTCCAAAAATTTCCAGAAGAGCAAAAAGTCTAAATATATTTTGGAAAATCGGGGCTCCACTTTGATACTGACAGCTTCGGCCTTTTCTTATCACTTCCCGTTGCGCGGCCGCAGATCACCTGCCGAGCCGTTTTTTTCGGCTCAAAACAAAAACGATTATCGTTCTCCGACTCTCGTTTTTTCCCAGGCGAAAGAGGGGTGATTTCATTTTTTTCATAATTCAAAATTTGAAAAATTGAAAATTGAAAAAGTCATTTATCAGAAAAAATGAAGCCTCCTGCTGCGAGCGGAATGCGATTAGGGAGGAGAGCGTAGTAGAAAAGTGTGAAATTTCGAATTCGTGAAAGACCTGCCAGAAGGATCTCAATCGATTTTTGGAGGGGTTTTGGAAGATTAAGAAAAATTGAAATTTTAAAGACGATTTTTAATTTTGATCGCTCTCCAGATTCAATTGGATAATCTGGCTAAGAAGCGCAACTTTGGCCAAAAGCTCGAAAACCTGTGTAAAAAACCTGACTCAGGGTCCAATAAAAGCATTTTTCAGACGCTGACTCAGTTTTTTTACGCAAGTTCTCGAGCCAAATCAAGCTCGTATTTTTAAGAAAGAGACACCCTTATTTATCGATAAGAATAAATAAGGGTCCCCCTCGAACATTGTTTAAAAATGATCAAAGGGTAGAAGAGTCCTAAGAATGCTTGCAAACGCGCTAATCAGCCCTTGCTTAGCGTATATTTCCGCCTCATCTGCACGTTGCTTTTGCCTATCAAGGCGTGAAAAATCTTCAGGTGCAGCCGTTTGGCTTGTTTGGCACCTTGAAGGAATCCTCGAATTTTCCTTGCGCCAGTTTTTTTTTCGAACGTTGCTCCTGGTGGCGGTGGTGTACCTACAGCGCGGCGCATAATAGATAGAAGGGTCAGGTGCCCACCAGCTGAAAGGTGCCCGGCATCTCACGTGATACGCAAAAATTACACCAACGCCAAGTGAGCACCATCCTGGGCGCACCCTTAAGACATACCGATATTTGTCAAAATGAGAATTTATCATGTAAACGTGGAGAAAATTGGGAAAAATATGATCAAAAGCTTGGTTCAATTAAAGACCAATCAGATTTCCGTATTCGGCTTAGAGGCCAATCAGAGCTCAGAAAAATCGAAGTTTTTTTGCAATCTTTCTTTTTTCTTTTGATTTTTAACATGAATATTCAAAGTATTCAAATTGACACTCAACACAAGTTTTGCTTTGAAAAATCACGAGTTATACTTTCAACCCGCTCCTCGCCCACTAAACCCTCTCTTTTTTAGACAAAATGCTGACAGAAAGAAGAATAATGATCTTATACTTCCTCCTCCATCTTCTATCGATAGCCAGCTCGGAATTCGAAAACAGAACGCGTCTGAAAACAAAAGATAACAGGTAACTTTTCAATCGAGCATTTTCATTGGTTAATCTGATTTATGGTGGCGCTGTTTTCACCACCTGGGCTAACGAAATCTGTTTAATCGAAAATAACTAAAAACTCGCCCGAGCTATTATTAAAAAGCAAAAGCGATAAGGGACGAGATAACCAACCGGTCGGTGAGGTGCTCTCACCGGAAAAATGGAAATCTCAGAAGCCCGGTAGTTGAGATAAGAACGCTTTGTCTAATTGTATTCATCCAACTGTGTAATTTTCCTTTTTCTCCGCGCTGATAAGGAGCGACTTAGGGGGCTTGTCGGGAGCAAAAGCAAGGAAGAATCGAGATTGAAGGCGCTTGCGGCTTGCGGCTTTTCATTTTAAAATGAAAATTTTTGACTAAAAATGAAAATTTTTGACTATAAATACAAATTCTTGACTAAAAATGATATTTGACTAAAAAAATGAAAACTTGACGAAAAAGCCGCGCGCGGCTCTAAAGTCCTAAAAAAACTATATTCAAATATAAAAAATTTAAGTCGCTAGCCTAACCCTAACCCTAACTTGCGACTAAAAAAGTGACTTCAGGATGAAAAAGTATATTCCAACAACAACATTCGACTCGACAGATTCTTGCGGCGACGGCGTCAACGCAAAGTACTGCACCCCACCCTTTGAAGATATCACGCGAGTGCTGAAAAAGAAGTTCGAATCCAGCCAAACCTGCGGAATTGAGCAATCGGAGCGCTACTGTAAGCGAGAGAACGACAAATGGAGCTGTAAATTTTGCGACAGCTCTCAAACTGCCAAAATGCTGCCGACTAGGCACTTAAATGATCATGAAAAGACGACTGACGAGGAGACTTGCTGGTACTCGGGATCAGTGGTTGATCCTTCTGACGCAGCGGGCATTGTTTCCGAGGTAATCAACGATGAAAAAAGGGTTCATCTTAGGAGTCAAACTATTTAAAAATCCTCATTCTAGGCTGATCTCGAAAAGACTCAAACTCGCAATGTAACCCTGACGATCGATTTCTCCCACCCTTATGAAATCAGCTTTATCACAATGAAGTTTTGTGGACCTGTGCCAGCTGCCATGGTTATTTATAAATCTGTAAGTCGCAAATTGATTATCTTCTTTTCTTTTTATATCAATCTGATTTAAATTTTAACACTATTTTTAGACGGGGAACAATGACGAGTGGCAGCCGTACCAATATTACGCTGATAATTGCAGGGAAACATTTGGAATTGAGCCAAACGAGGAAATCACCAGATTGAACCAGGAAAAAGCACTTTGCTCGGAGCGATACTCCAAGAATAAGGAGGGCACTCGCGTTTCATTCAACACAGTCAACAATAGAGGGGACAGTTCTGTGTCTTCCCCCGTTGTTCAGGTACTCCTTCATGCCCCTTTCTTCTCTAACCCGCTGTAGAATTGGATGACCGCGCAGGCAATCAAAATCGAACTCCTGAAGCCGTCGATTTGGCCAGTTAACAACAACGGTCTGAAAACTCCAAGCTCAACACTAGTGGCAAGCTATCAATATGCGATCTCGGATATTAGGATTTCCGGACATTGTCAATGCAACGGACATGCTGACAGGTATTTTACAGAAATTTTCGGGTGGCCATTTATCTCTTATATGGTTAATAGTGGTTTGACAGGTCAACAAACAATTAGTTTTGTAAAAATTTTATCGACTCTCAAGAAGAGTCAAAATATATGTATAAAAATATTTATGAACATATATGATTTTCTTTCTAAAGCCTTCTCTATTCTAGAATTCCCTTACAGTACCATTTTCAGCTGCGAAATCATCGATGGCAAGCCCAAATGCATCTGCAAACACGGCACCGTCGGCGACACTTGCAACATGTGCCACTCCTTCTACCAAGATCGACCCTGGCAGCGCGGAACCAAATCGAACCCGAATGAATGCCGCGGTAAGTAATTTCTAATTTCCATCGAGCAAGTCATTACTAATGAACTTGCGCCCGTTCACTGTTTTGCGTTCTCTGCGGATTTAACAAGGTCCCAGCTGATGACCTGCTCCGTCTTCAGTGTAAATCAAATAAATAGAGTAGATTTATTGAGTGCGATGACGGCCTCAGAATTTGAAACTAAAAGGCAAAACTTGTGAAAATTAGATTATTAAATATTTTATACTGTATTTTAGCCTGCAACTGTAATCTTCATGCGAACAAGTGCAAGTTCAACGATACACTTTACAAAATGTCTGGAAATCAAAGGTAAATACAGTCATTTTTGATAACAAAATTGAGGAAGGGAGAAATATCACATGACTGACCTGTGTAAAAACCTGACTCAGGGTCCTGAGATAGAATTTTTTAACTCTTTTCTGACATTTTCTTTGGTTAGCCTTAGGGTTAGGTTTCTGGCAACTAAAAAACCCTAACCCTAACCCAACCCTAACTCTTTTCAGGACCCTGACTTAGGTTTCTACTCAGGTTTCCCTGCCCAGATCCCTGCTTTTCAAGGGTCAAGAAACCAAAGATTCATAATTACGGTCTTCCACTTTCGCTCAAATACAGCTGGGGCTCTTTGACATCAAGTGCCCATGACTAAACATTTCGCGACATTTTGCAAGAAAGGATAAGCTCTCTTTTAATCCGCGCCAGTCACTTCTTCTTTCCAGGCTTCCAGGATTTATTTCTAGGGAAATCTCGAGCTTTCATCGATCATATCTTTCTCAACAGTTTTTTTTCAGTGGTGGAATGTGCCAAAAGTGTCGGCACAATACGTCTGGCGCAAGGTGCCAGGTTTGCAAGCCCGGCTATACGCCCGACCCGAACAAGTCCGTCGACAATCCGAAATACTGCAAAAGTAAGTCTCTTCGTTAACCCCTCTTTCGACCTTAAAAATACCATTCACCATTATTACTACCTACATTCTATCAGTATACTCATTACAGTAACCCTCTCATGTACAGATGCACAGTGACCCCTCTGAAAAGGGGTCAAAATGATCGTCGCACGCTTGTGAATCAAAAAATGTAGAATATCGAAGTAAAAAATAAAAATGATGCATTTTCTTGAATTCAAGAAAACACCATCTAAAGGCTAATCTTTCCTAATGCTTGATAAAATAAAAAAAATGATAAAATTGGTTTTCGTCCTTGATTTCAATGACCGGAAAAGTCCTTTTTTCAGTCAAAAATGACCAATAAAAAACTGAAATCAACAAGGAAAATCAATTTTTTCATGACAAAAATTCGAATAGAAAAATAGTAGGACTAATCCCTTTTTATCCAATCTGAAAACCCTAACTAACACAAACAATTTACAAGGCTGTGACTGTCATCGAGTTGGAAGTAAAAGCAAAAATTGTAATCAATCGAACGGAGCTTGACCATTCAGGGGTCGAAATTAATCATCAAAAATACTAACCTAACCAAAAAATCTTCAAAATCTTCAAATTTCAAGAATTAAAAATCGAAATTTGAAGAGAAATTTGAAGATTCAGTTCGAAATACAGTTGAAACCAACATCCAAGCAAGTCATTCACAGCAAGCTTTACTATCTAAATACCAAGTTTTACTATGAAATTCGCTCTATTAAAAATAATTTTTTGAATATTTGAAAAAAAAATCCGCTTTGCAAATTAAAAAAAACGCTTTGATGCTGGCTTTGGCGCGTAGTTGACTCTTTAAAAACTAAATTGACGACATTTTGACCCCTGCTCAGCGAGTGCAAAGAAGGCGTCTCGGGACTCAAGTGTACGCACTGTGCCCCTGGGTACATTCAGACCAAGTCACCGATTAAGCCATGCGAAAAAAGTAAGAAAAAAGCAGCTCCACCAAAAATTAATTCTCATTCATCCTCATTTTTCCCTCCCCAATTTCTTTTGTAAATGAGTCTTTCAGAAATCCCGAATCCAATCAAAGACCCTCTTCTGCCATCATCTTCGTGCGCAAATATGTGCAAAAAACAAGACAGTATAAGCTTGCCGCCGAAGGAATACTGTAAAAAGACAATGAGTAAGTTCACTTTCCTTGACGAAAAATAACTTCGCTTTTTAGTTCTTAAAATCGACGTCAAATCGAGGAAAACAGTGAGGAACAAATATGTCGTCTATGTCGTCAATGTCCAAAAGGTAAAATTTTCTTATTGAACTGATACCCTTATTCTCAATAAAGGTCTACCGGCCAAAACGATCGCGAAAGACGACGAACTCCCGCTCCAAAAACCCGTTCATTCTGACCTCCAAAGAGTCCCGCTCCACCAGAAAGAAGCACGCCGCATCTTCCTCCTCCCCACCTCATATAACGAAGGGAAAATGGGAAATCTGGCAAAACAAGAAATACGCAAAGTGTGGTTGCCCGAAACTGAGGGTCAAGAAAATTTACTTGTTGCTTGGAAAACATAAATCTGTTCGACACTCAAGGTAAATTTATCGTTGTAACGCCCTTAGTTTTTCCCTTAATAGAAAGCAAAGACCTTAAACTCCCCTTTAGACATGGTTCACGAAGAAAATTCAAAATCGACCGCCATTCAAACTCGCTAAAATGGCGCGATCTTTTCGACAGTAATTTAAAATCCATCGAAGCGCTCAACCGAGAGCAGAAGAACTGCTGAGAAGTCCACCCAACAACGCAATACAAGTCAAAGTTCAACAAATTATTTTCAACTTTACCAAAACTGATTCCTGATGAACGAAAATATGGAATTGCCTTGATGCCTCAAATCTAAGTTAAAAAAAAGGAAAGACCCGATTTGTTCAAAAAGAAACTCCAAAAATCCTCAAAAAATCATCAATAGTCCAATCCGGAAAATACTGTATTATAGCTACACAAAAACAAAACGCCCAGACAAAAAAAAACGATAGCCAAGAAAACGGACGTATATATAAATTAAAAAAATCAAACAAAGCTGTAAATAAATTCTTAATAAATTTTAACAGGCTCGAAAGAAAAAAGCCTGCTACTGTCCTGCCTCAGTTGAACAAAGAATGAATAAATAAATGTTAAAAATTTCACCGAAGTCTATTTCTTCTTTTCTGAGAAATAATCAGCTGCCGCATTGAATCGCTTGAAAACTGCCTCTGAAATGCAAAATATGGCTCTTCCAGTTTTCGATAATTTCGCAAGAGAAAGTTTTTTCCACCAGCTTCCGAAGCTCAACGAAACTTGCACAGACCTTGATCTTGGTGAAATCTGCTCAACAAGCTGTGGCAATGATCTTTTGGCATGTCTAGGCAACTGTCAAAATGGGGATGCACTTTGCGAAAATTCCTGCGTCCGGGAAGGATTTGACTGTATTGATGGATGTCCTTGCCACATTGATTGCCCTGCAGGCTGCCAGGATTGTCCAGCTGATATTTGCAACATTTGTGCTTTTCCTGAAGAGAACGAGGAGCATATAAAATGCCTGGCAGATCTTGAGCAAGAGCTGATGGAATGCATCGGAAACTGCGGCGGGAACTCGAGTTGTCTCACTCTTTGTACCGTAGAATACTCACAGAACATTCTCGACTGCCCTTGCGAAGAAAACTGCCCAAACGGTTGTCCATGTCCCCATTATGAATGCGAAGATCCGGAAGCAGAAGAGCTGAATTCCGTCTTGATAATGCACGGTGAAAGCGGCCGAGACCCTGCTCTTGCGAATTTTCAAAGTTTTACTCAAGATTTAAAAGTGAGAAAAAATTCCCTTCCCGTTTCTGATCTTCCTTTTTAGGTTTCGTGGTATCACAATGGTCCTGATCGGCTAGAATTCTCGGCCAAGGAAGGATGTTCAGTTTTATACAAGGGAAGAAATTATTTATTCGGAGGATGGTATGTCAATTTCGAAGGAGGAAAGGAGCACGGGCCGCATGTTCTTGATGGATGCGATATAAAGAAAGCCGAAGGGGTTTCTTTTGAATTTGACTGCTTCGAAGGATCAGTTGGACAGACGTACTGGAAGGTTGACGACGAGCCACAGCCGTTCATCATGGTTTATGATGGGTACAAAAATGCTTATCGGTAATCTTGTCATTAAACTCACCTCCAACTGATTCTAAGATACGATGGCTCAGAAATCCTGGAGGTTTTACCAGAGACTACACGAAGTCATTTGTATATCGGTGGTCATATTCCACTTTACCAAAATCCTGATCACCCTGGCGACCTTTTTTCGATACTACTTGGTGGCTATGATAGTAAATTCGGAATATACAGGAATTCAGTTGAATGGCTTAGGTGATTAAATGAAGAAAAAACCGAAAAAAAGGCTGAGAATATTTGTAGCCCGGCCAGTGGATGGATCGAAGATGAGAGTTTGACGTTTCCCGAAGAAGATAATACAGGAAAAGGTCTTAGTGCTTATTGCGCTGTTTCGGGGGAATTCGGACTGGTCATCATTCCAGGAAGGACGAGGTCAGTGAAAATATAAAAATAGCAAGAAATTCAGCAATTTAAAAGCTCAAATCGAAAAATCTGGCGACTTCACAAAAATCAGTGGGAAAATATTGGACTCGTTCCCTGGTAAGAGAATCGAGCGACTTTTATTACTAAAAGTTTATTATTTACTAAATTTTATTACTGAAATTTTTAGGACATCATTCAGAGGATACGCAAGAGCTGTTCTTTTTCCTAACAACGAGGTCAGTTGATTTCACTTTGGGATTTTGTTCATTTGATGTTTTAAAAGATAATGGTCCTTGGAGGATACTCGGGAGATTGGATGTTCACCAAGTTCATATTCAACGAAGATTTTACTTCCATCGAAGGGGAAGATCTTGAGCATTTGCCCAGCCTTAAAAATTGGGATGACCCTTATGCGATGCTTGTGCCTGACAATTACTGTGTGATCAATTGAGGAATAAAAAAGAGGCTGAGGAAGACGTCTAGGCAAGAAATTGACTGAAATTTGTTTTATTGGAGTATATTTTTGAAAAAGTGTTGTAAAAAAATACAGTGCAACAAGCTTATCGGCATTGATAAGAATTCCGAGATCAATTAGCTCACGAATGACACTTTCAGCTTCGAGAGGAAAATCATTGATCGTAGCCAGGCCAGAGCATTCGGAAAGACCAGCAAGACGAGCAATAGTGATTAACATTTATCAAAGTTTTTCGTTAAGCTGAAGGGCTGTTTCGATCTTCTGGACCACGTTTTTTCATCTATTGTGAATTCAAATCGACCCTCGTTGAGTCCACATTAACCTGTTTAATCTGCCTGAGCCAAAGTCATAATCAATTCCTCGATTCCACATCCCTCAACTTGCTGAAAAGCTGCTATTGTCAGCGCAGCTTTCTTCGCATGCATATTTGATGCGTTTTAAATATTTCTGTCTCTTGGGACTGCTCAAGGGGCGAAGGAACTGATTCTAGAGCTGGAAAGATAAATTTAAACGCGTTGGAAAGAAAGAGAGCGAAATTAAATAAGAAATTAAAGCAGAAAATTATGGGAAAGGATTCACAAAAAAATTTTTCCCGTTTTCTAAGAAAAAAATTCTTGTCAAATAAATTCTGAAAAATCCCAAAAAAGCGAATTTCACAGAAGCCCGAGTCGGCACAATCGACCCGTCTCGCGCACTCGTCCTTGCCTCCATCCTTCAGGTTCATTTGTCAGATTCACTTTACGTTCCATTTGCCCTTCTGAATTATTTATCCACGTCTCGCTTTTTCTACATAACTTGAAAGCTGCTTTCGCTACTTATAAAAACCGCTTTTCCTTTTCGGCGAGAAAACAAGAATAAAAACGCGCAGAAAAATGATGATTAAATACATGGTTAAAAAAGAAGGTGTTCAGAACCACAAACCAGTGGATTATGGAATTCCGGCTGGGATTTGCCCGACGATGGATCTTAGGAAAATTGTTTGAAAGTCTTTTCTATGAGAACAATACTTTATTTACAGCAAGCATATTTAAAACAAATAAAGCCCAAAAGCAAACGAAACCGAATCATCAGGTCGCTACTGCGAAGTCGATCTGTACAAAGCAAAATACTACACGACTGGAACTGTGATCAAAAAAGTCAACAACTTCATCTGCTACGATCCTGACATTGGCCGAGTCTACCCTGTACGAGGAATGGTCAAAGCGGGGACGATTTGCAAGGACTTGGAGAGTTATTGCCAGCCAGTGACCATCGCGAAAAATATTCATGGATTGAAGGATGGAACGAGGGGTCCTGGGGGGAAGGTCTTTGTTGATACCAGCGTGTCCATCAATGTAAGTCTGTGCATCAAGTTGTTTTGCTCCTGGAAGACAATCTCTCAAATCACTGATCAATTATTAATAGGAAACAACGGGCTTTGAAGTGGAAGGCCTCGCATCTTATCATTTCAACTCCCAACCCTATGTTTCTTATGAAAACACGAACATAATCAATATTGTAACTGGAAAAATTCAAGCTCAAGGGCCGGTTCAAAAATACACTCCTTGAAATCAAGGAAGACAACAATTTGTCACGACATCATTTTTGATCCGCTTGAAAAGGCCCTTTGTACTCAATCTTCACCGATTTTTACGCAAAAGTGTCGGAGTTCAAAACCGATTTGATGAAAAACAGCTTTCGAAAATACTTTGAAAATTGGCGATATGTCGCTGCTGACCGAAAATTTTACGGGACGATTCAATGGAGAGAAGACATTTACTACGATTACGAGTACGAGATGGTGTTCGACTCGAAATTCGAGAAAATTGAGTCGGGAAAGGCCAAAGTTTTTGACAATCAAAAGAGGCTCTTGAACACGGTGTATTTTGGCAATTCTGGCAGCTCTGGAGGGTTAAAATACAAAGGTATCGTTTTTTCTCATCCAAAAATCTGAAAAAAGCAAATTTAAGCGATCAGCAGCCGAATGACCTGCATCTGCAATCAAGAAAACTGCTCCTGGAAGCTCTCAGGCTGCAAAAACGAACCCAACAACGATCCAAGCTCAAACTACTACTGGGGCAATTCGTGGGTTCCGGGCCCTTACGAGACGCAAAAAGCGAATCTCGCTCGAGCGAAGGATGAATTCGACTTTGCAAGGCGAAATCGGCGAAGGGCAACATTTTTCTTGGATACACAAAACGATACAATGGCCACAACTTGGCAGCAAAGGATAAGCTGTATTGCCAATCCGCGAGCTCAGAAGGCTGCGAGGAAACGACGTTTAATTTCAAGGGTCTTTTGCTCAAGGCACTGGTTTTTCCGTGAAAACGAATCCCTCGGGCTGGCAACCAGTGTTGAAACCCTGAGTCAGGGCCGAAAAATCTTCCGAAAACCATGTTGAAGGAAAACAACGAGCTAATCCGGTGGCTCGATTATCAAACCGCTCTCAACTCGACCCTTGTAAAGCTTAAATCCGTGCTTGATTTTGTCAGGTAACATAACGAAGCAAAAATACCTGCCTTAGTTGTGTTTGGTCAGAGACCTGTGTCTTATTTGAAAATATTGTAGAGCTGGATCTCGCCTTTTCCCGGCGAAATCAAATCGATCACGCGCTTCAAGGCGAGCTCTGTCAGAAAAATTTAAAGAGCGCGAAGAAGTCGACGACGTCAATATTGAAATATTGATAGGTACTCGCCTTAATTTTATCGAAAAATATTCAATTCGAATCTGGAGGTTTCGGCTCATTTAAGGTTTTGCTTTGATAAGCCATCATTATTCCATGTCGATCAAAATGGCGGTACATACATGCATTTAAAAAGTAAATTTCTGAACTTCAATTTTTAAGAAGCGAATTGGATTCACGAAAGCGTAGCCCGGGAATGCAAGATGAGGTCATGGTCGAAACCAGTAAATCTGCAAATACAGGTTTCAACCCTCATTTTTACGCAAAAGATGCTTACTTTTCATTTTCAGAAATATATCCTGTTGTGGTAACGACGTTACTATTCATCATCGCTGTCTTTGTCCTTCTTGTTTTGTTCGTCTTGATTGCCTTCTGTAAATACCGACTGTCCTTTTCCTCGTCAAAGAAAGTAGACGATATCAAAAACTCGGACAAGCAGAGTTTAACCTCGACGCGCAAACATACGAAAACTCCGGTTGTTCCGATCCCTCCCGCGAGACATACGGTTTTGGGAATTGCTGATGCTCAAATTTAGCATTATTTTTTTGTGAAAAATCCTTGTCAATAAATAATTCCTCGAAAGAAATACAGATTTCCGGCTCTTCTTGATTGAATGAATTCGCTGTTCTTATGGTAGTATGACCTCAAAATTCGGCCAAAAGCCGAATTCTATAAAATCATATTTTAGAAGAAAAATTCGGCCAGCGTGGCCGAATTTTTTGACCAAAATTGAACGGTCTTTGAATGAAAATTTCGGCCAACAAATCTTCGACTTGTTTTTAGTCAGGCAATTAAGCTATAATTATAACGAGATCGAACGTAATAAGCACCGATTACGAAAAGTCCATTTACTGTCCTGTCCATTCATAGCGATTGCGCGAGCTTCGAAAAAGAAAAATGAGTCTCCACTGAGAATTTCGCTGGCCGAATTTTTCACCAAAATACTTTGTAAAATCTGAGCAATAATTCGGTCAATTTGGCCGAATTTTTCATTCAGAATTATTGAAAATATAAACAAATAATTCGGCTATAGGTGGCCGAATTTAAAGATTATACTATTATATTACTATACTATTATATTATTGTCTCTTTCTCCTTACTCCTTACTCTCTTCTTACTTCTTCGCTTGCGATGGACAGACCAAAAAACCGCTAAAATTGATTCACCCGGAATAAATCTTCAATTAACTTCTTTTGCTGCTGTCAGAGGGAAAATGTACATTTTGGAGGAAACACTGATTTACAAACGGCACAATTGAGCGGTGACCTAGAAGCGACATTTTATTGTTTTCAAGATTTCAAGAATTGACGATTGCACGATCAAAAAGCTACCAAGTCGATTGATTCTTCCGTTTGGGCAAGGTTCTTCTGCTATTCCGATTGATAACGGAGACAGAGGTTGTTAACCAATAAGAGTCCAGTATTGATTGGTTGGGCCAACCAGAGGTGAAAAAACGCCCCTTCATCTACGACATCCCTAACCACAAGCTTTTGCCCACCCTAGATGGACACACACTAGCTGGTTTGGAAAGTGGAGCAATGCTGATGATCGGTGGATGGGATGAACCCAACTTTGAGCACACTCGTGACATTTGGATTTTGAATGAAAACGCATGGAAGCTTATCGGTTCTCTTCAAGAGGTTATACAAAAATCGATGCAAACTTAAGTAATTTATCCGTATTATTGTGAAGTCAAACAGCTATGGCTCAGCATTGAGAATCGGTGACTACATCTACGTAGTTTCTGGCGATAAAGCAGCTCCGAGTGGAAGCTTCCCAGTCGAAAGAATCAACGTTGCAAACAAAGAAGTAATTGAGACAAAAGTCATCGGCAGCCACGCTCATCAAAACGATATCCCAATAATTTTTGAAGCAACAGCTTATTTCTGCGTTCAAAATTGATCGTCGACTCATATTCAGCTTTCCTCTACGATTTTCCTATAAATATTACTAAAACAAGAAATTCAGAAACCCAGCGATTAAATGACAACAAATCTCAAGTAAACTCAACATTTGACGGGGCTGGTGACGATGTAAAATAAATGACCTTCAAAAAGCTTTTTGGAAAGGGAGCCATTTTTGCGTTCGCGGTCGCGTCATCCGGAAGTTTAAATTATGAACGGTGCGTAAGCATGTTTTAGAAGAGACGCCCTTTCAAAAGTTCATTTTGGATATCCTTTTGAAGATGTTCTAAATATTAGACACGCCATCAAAGTTTTTATTCACATGCTGTTTTCCATTGGATAAAGTGACGTGAATCATGTGACAGAATTAATGTTTTTGTGAATTTATTTATAGTCAACTAAGAACTTAGCAGGGTGATTACTCAGATAGTAATAAATATGGAAGCATATACATTGTATATTATGCAATATGCTGCATTTTACAATTATTTGTGATACTACTCGTACTACTCTTGTAAAAAGTACTGAATTTTTGACAAGAGCCCGATCTCCGAGAGCACCCCGCTCCCGAAAATCCAATCTCCTAGTTATTTACCAAGAATTCCTGTTTCTGAAATTTCTGGCTAGATTTCGGGACTTAGGAGGGTCCCCATTGGTTTTGCAAAAGTGTGAATTTTAAAAATTTCTTATAATTTTTGGTAAGGTCAGGTAAAGAGCAACAAAAAATACATTGATCATTCTTCCCAATCGTCAAGAAAATTGAGCTTGAAGCAGTGTTCCAAATTTGTGTTTCCCTGTTTCCCTAAAATGGGAAACAGTTTTCCTGTTTCCCTGTTTGACAGGGAACCGGGAAACAGGGAAACACGCATTTCTTCTGATAGTGGAAAACAGGAAAACAGGGAAACAGCCATTTTCAAAACAGGGAAACAGGGAAACAGCCATTTTTCAAAACAGGGAAACAGGGAAACTGTTTCCCTGTTTCCCTATTGATGATTTATTTTTCTAAGAGCCCTCGTTTCCATCAAAAAACCCCTCTAGAATGCAGTTTTGTTCACAAAAAAACAACAAAAACAGTCGAGGAAATTTCAAATTTGTTCTAGAGACCTTCATCACTAACTACCAGACTGAGGTCCTTTGCTCGAAATGGGCCAAATTTACACGGAAAATCTTCGCGAATTCTTCGAATAAACAATATAATCGGTTTTAAAAAGAAAAAAAATTGAAATGCAAAAAAATTTTGGAGGTAAAACTGATGAGGGAAACAGGGAAATTGTTTCCCTGGGGAACAGGGAAACAGGGAAACAGCAATTTAAAAAATGAGAGGGAAACAGGGAAACACGGATTTTTCTCAAAATTTGGAACACTGGCTTGAAGTGGTCATTTTGGAGGTGTTTCCATGAAAATGAAGAAGTTATCCCTTTTTTAAAATTGTCCCAGGGCCGCGAATGATATAATTTAAGGACCCCCCCCCCCCCCGTCAACAATTTTTGAAAAATCAATTTTCGGAATTTTAAAATTTTGACCCCGGAAATGGATTCTACGGGTCAAATAACGATTTTGAGGCTTCATTTTTTGGGGGTCTATCTCGACTCGAACACCCTCAAAATCGCCTTTGAAAATTGGAGTTTTTGACGAAAAACGACGAAAAAACCTAATTTTAGTAAAATTTTTGATTTTTATTGGTCTGAAATTGCTCCGACCAAGTTTGTATGATAAATAAAAGTTCCAGGCACATAAAGAAGCCAAAATATGGCGGTTTTGAAATTTTCGTTATTTTGAGGAAAAGTGAGTGGGGGGGGGGTCCTTAAGAGAGTTTTTGACTTTTGCTATCTATTTATGCCGAAAAAGATGAGTCTAGGCTATGCCCGGAGGCCAATTCGCATGGTGAAAACTTCGGAAATCGTCATTTTTTGGGAAAGCCCTTGCAATGTAGCGAATGTCCCCAATGTCCCGAATGTCCCCGATTTTTAGTTTTTGGCCTTTTGAAAAAAATATATATCACAGGGAAAACAGAAATTTTCAAAATAATTTTGTTCTAGAGACGAGTTTTTACCAAAATCAATGAGTTTTCTTCCACGAATTGCGCGGAGCGCTACCTTATTTTGACTATTTGTCAAAACAATAACGTTCTTGAGACAGAGAAGTTGTTGTTTAGTTCTCGTTTTCCAGTGTTTTTGTAGGGTGACGGGCGGCCACGTTCTGCCAGAACGGCGTTCTGCAAAAACAGAACGGCGTTCTGCAAATGCATAATGGCGTTCTGCATGAGAATTTTTACGATGTAACTTGATTCTTATCAGTTTTAACGCATTCAGCTAAGCTTAAAGAATAACTCATACTTGAAAAATTCTGAGATTTCCTTTAAGACAGGCGCGAAGCGCATATATTTTGAGTGCAGAACGCCGTTCTGTATTTGCAGAACGCCATTCTGCATTTGCAGAACGCCGTTCTGCTGCAGAACGTGGCCGCCCTACACCCTTTTTGTAAGATTTGACGGGAACATTCGGAACATTGGGGACATTCAGGGACATTCGGGGACATTGGGGACATTCGGGGACATTCGCTACATAGTCAGTGTCTACCATTTTTTGAATCTTGGTTATTACATAAAGATTTTTGGAGAATCAAACTGTCCTTCATTATATTTCTTGATCAAAGTAAGTTGCTTCTAAATACAACTTTTCGACTTAAATTAAAAGAGGGCAAAATTGTGAGAGTGAGCTTCATATATTTAGTTTGAAAAAATTTATAATTTTGTGGGCTCGAGGCGTGTTTGAAAATATGTGGAAATCGCTTTTTCCGAAATATGACACCTGATACTTGAAAATGACTTTTGCGGAGCAAAATTCTAGCCCCTATATTTCTTATGCTCATTCGAAAGAACAACGCCTAAGGATTCGAATGGTATAATTTTGAGGGTCTGAGTCATCACATATGACGTCATAAAGGCCCCCTTTTGAAAAATGGTCATGAAGCCCTGTATCTCCGAAAATTTTCAGAATTATATGGAGATTTTGCTATCGTTGAAAAGCTTAGCTTAAACTGTGTATAGGCACCCACTGCGCAAGAGAAAATTCCAAGCGAAAAAATATTTTTGAGACAAAAAATTTTCAATAAAAATTTTTTCAGAATCATTACTTGCGCACCAGGTGCCCATACACAGTTTCAGCTTGGCTTTCGAATGATACCCATATGTCCATACTTTTTCGAAAATTTGTGGAGACACAGGGCTTCATGACCTGTCATTTTCAGGTACTTTAGGCGCTAGAATTTGACATTCTTCGTGGCTTGGACACATAAAAATTGTACCATTCGACTCCTTAGATTCTGCGCTACAAACTAAGCACTAAAAATATTGAGGTCAGGATTTTGCTCCGCAGAAGTCATTTTCATCTATCACCTCCGCGCTCTCTAGCGCCAAAACTGCGAGATAAATTTTTTTCATAAAAATTTGATTTTAAGTTGAGGCATAGATCTCCAACCTAAGAGTGTTTTAATTCCAAAATTCAAGAGCATCTATCGCTCAGTTCTGTTCAAAAATTGCCGATTTCGAAAATGGGGACCCCCTTAAATGCGGGAAACTAGTCTATGATAATCTAAACTAAGTCCTTAAAGACGACCCTACTTAACAAGGATTCCGGCCAAATCCTCAAAAATTTTAAAAATTTTACTGATGAAAAGTATTCTTTAGACGAAGATTTAGAGGCAAACGTGGAGAAAAAATAGGGTTGCAATGGTAATAAAGGTCGTAACGGCCGATTTAAAAATGTTGTTTTTGCTTAAAAATCGTTATTTTTTTTTTTTTATTGAAATTTTCCAAAAAATCGCTTAAACCCGTAATTTTTTGATATTAACAGTTTTAATCTGTTAAAAAAATTAATTATACATAAGAAAATTAAGTTTTATTGGTTTAAGGACCCCTCCGTCATCTGATAATGACTTTTTCAAACACGGTTTTCGGGTTGATCCCCTTAAGTTTTTTGAAATATTTTTGAATTATTTTGTAGCCCGATAGTTGCTCTAGGGCACCAGAAGGAAAACAAGCTTATAGGCCTCTTAAGGGTGTCGCAACGATAAGTTAAAGTGAAAATATTTTTCAAACAGTGATATCATTGTGATCACCTTAACTGATCAAAATTTTTTTATGTTGAAAATTTAGCTGAGACCCTTGTCGAGGGCACCGCACCAAGTTTATGATGATATCTTAAGGGTTTCACTAAAGAAAAAGTGTTTGAAGGTTGGTGATCGGCCGAAAAATGGGCAAATTTAGCTAAAAAAGCCCGAAAATCATGATTTTCAAAGACGATTTTGAGGGTCAAAAAGTCGAAATAGAATTTTACGACAATAAAGAAAAATGATCCTCAGAACTCAGAGAATCAATTCCCAAAAATCGTCAAACATGACGGGTGGGTCCTTAAGTGCGAAAAAAAAAAACAAATTCTAAAATTCCGAAGAATCTCGACTTAAAATCAAAAATTTTCTATATCAAAGTTTATCCAATCAAAAAAAGCTGGGGACCAAAAATGATTCTTTTTTTATGGAGAATTCAAAAAAATAATCAAAAATTTGAAAATCGAAAAATAAAATTTCCGTCCACCTCCCCCTATATTTAAGGGGATGGTCGTCAATATCAGGGTTTTTCTTGAGCAAAAAAGCGGGAAAACCTGATTGGATAAAGATTGGATAAAGAAAAAACAAATTGTTATGGGAAAATAACAGGGTTTAAAGAATTCATCCGCGAAAACAAGAAAAAAATTTGGCTAGAAAGAAATCGGTCTAAAATCCCGTAAAAAAGGGCCATTTTCGCAAAAATCGACCAAAAACGTTCATTTTTTTAACAATTTTCTCAATTTAACCCCCTAAAACTTATTTTCATCATACGATTTTAGGCTCAATAGACTCGCCAGAATCTGTAGATTCCAAAAATATATAATTCATATGCACACTATTTGTATAAGTGTGATTTCGATCACCACTGAAAATCCATATTGACGTCCCCCC